GGGGGGGGGGGGGCACACCGTCAGCGCTTCATTGATGGAGATGATGCCCGGAGCCACGGTCATGATGACGGCGCCGAACATGAGGAAGTCCTGGGGGAAGTAATCGGTGGCCAGCAGGACGAAGAGAACCGCCACGACAACAAGAACATAGATGGTCTGCCATAGGGGGGGCGCAGCCTCGGAGGCGGAGCTTGATGCCGAGGAGGCCAGCAGGCCCATCAGCTGGTTGCTGGTCTCACTGGAGAAGAAGGGCAGCATAATGACTCTGAGGGACGGCAGGGCGGAGAGGGGGGGAGGGGGGCGGGGGTCAGCGGAGAACATGGCGGAGAACATGGCGGAGAACATGGCGGAGAGGACATGCGGTGCGTCGCGCGCGCTGGGGGGGGCGGAGTGGACAGGAACATGGGGCTGGGAGAAGAGGGCTGACCAGGGAGCCAGCAGGCCCCACGGGCGGAGGGAGGACGCACGCGCTGAACGGTGTTCTCCAGCTTGGGGATAGGCAGACCCGAAAGCGGGGGGGAGTAATGGAGACACGAACCAGCAACGGGGGCTGTCTGGGCAGAGGCCAGAAAGGGGAGGGGGATGAAGGCCACGGGCCTTCGCTGCGAGAGGAGCACAGGCAGACGGTGATCGATAAGCGGGAATGGCGGGGGGCGGGGATCCGCGGCGGCCTACAGAGGAGGCCTTTGTTGGGAGAAGGGAATGAGGTGGGTGATCCAGGGCCGGGGCGCCGCATGGCAGCCTGAGAAGTGTGCCTTTAAAGTTGGCGCCGTGCCCGGAGGTGCTGGCGGAGGCCCGGGCGGAGAGGCGAGGAGGGGGGGGGCGGGGCGGACCAAGATGCGGAGTGCCGGCCACAAACGGCCTCCCCCCCCCCCCCCCCCCCCGACACCGCACAGCCCGGGCCCCCGCTTCACCCCCCGGGTGCGGAGGGGGGGGGAGACGGCGAGGACTGGCCTTCTCGCAGGGAGGGACAGCCGGCCAGCCGGCCACCAACAGATCTCCCTGACTCATGCGTGGTCGAGGGGGGGGGGGACCTGCCAGGACTCTCGCGTGTAGGGTGTGGCCGGTCAGCCGGCCCGTTGGGCTCGGGTCCCAGCTGCATGGTCACAGCCAGCCAGCCAGCCAGCCAGCCAGCCAGCAGAGTCGGGATATCGCAAGGGGCTCCTCTCGCCCCCCCCCC